TTTTAGGGTTCTCCAATTCCAATCCCTGACGATTAAAAGATCCCTTACATTCACCTTATATTTAGCCTACAGGTCTTCCATCTTTTCGGCCATGTGATGAAGAAAACACTACTTCGATTCTATCAAATCTCCAAAAAATGCAAGTGATAGTAATGTCTTATAATGCAAACAGCATTGGGAAAGGCCACTGATTACATCATCTAACCACTGATTTCCATGATTAAAAGCTATGCGGTTGTATTTACATTATTTGGTACGGAATATCGATGGAATTGAAGACTCAAACATTTGCAGTTGCTCCTAATTTCTATGTCCTGAATTGCTACAAACGATAACTGCCAATGCCAAAGTTGCCAACGTAAAGAAATGGAGAATCCTCCTCTTCGGATCTCAAATTCCTTCCCATAAAGTCAATAACTGCCAATGCTAAAACTCTCAGACTTTGTTCTATGATTGCACCAATCAATGTTAACTAACCTAAACACCTCCTAAACACTCACTCTTGAATTAAAACACTTCAAACCCCATCAACAACAACAGCAATTCGCACAACAAAAAATACGCCAAAAGGAAATTGGGGGAATTTGAAAGATAGCTATAGAAATTAATAACAACAACAACAAAGCTTTTTCCACTAAATGGAGTCGGTTATATGAATCCTAAAACGTACTTGGTTCTGTGTGATGTCTTTCGTTAGATCCAAGCTATAGAAATTAATACTGCAAAAAAGAAAAAAAAAAAAAAAAAAAAAAAGGAAGGAGATTGGATTGGATGGGTAACCTTGATCTTTAACATACTCAGCCAAACTGTTACAATCAGAGCACAAAGCGAGACCTGTGAAGCCAAGATTCTCGCATTCCCTTGTGCTCAGCTGCTCCTTCGATGAACCGGAAGCTACTGCCACCGCGAGCACCACCAACATAGCCGCCACCAACGCTCCCATCTCTCTTCCTTCCGAGCTCACGAGTTTCAGTCTCTCCTCCCAAGACTCGAAACAAAAACAAAACGCTGGTCTTGCTCGTGGTCTGGGCCTTCTATTTGTTTCGGGCTTTAGGCACCACTAGGGAAATTTAAATTTTTTTGGTTTTGTATTTCTTTTAATTCTTAAAAAAAAAAAAAAAAAAAATTTCAGATTGAAGAAACCCATGAAGAAAAACATTTTTGACATCCAGCTGACCTAACGGCCATTTCCGAAAAATAGCTAAATTAAGAATAGTGCGAATGGTAACAGCTTTAATCACGAGACTAAATGTTCCATCTCATTCCATCCCCGTTTCGTTCCGTCTATGTACCAAACACTATCTAAAACAACAATGTAACACAACACTCGAGAGAAGCCAATTTACAGTCGCTCACACCATAACATGGCAAGTACTCCTTTCTAGAGACCATTTCAAACATAAGTCATTTCTTCGGCTTAAGTTGAATCAAGTGGGTTAAAAGTTATTAAGTAGGATCAACAGTCAACAGACCTAAATTGATAAGTCTATGAGATTAAACCTGATAATTAGTTACATAATTGGTCTTATATCTAATTATCTCTATGTTTTATGCATTCATGGATGTTTTCATTGTTTGTTCAAAAAAAAAAAAAAAAAGTTGAATCAAGTGGGTTTGGGCCCAAGGGGCGTAATGAATTTCGAAATCTCTTTTTTTAGGCCCACTTGTTATTTTCAAGCATCTCTGAGATTATGAATAATTAACCTAAATTCATTTAGTTAATTATTCCATCTCCTTATTAATCATAATTAATTAGTTCAACACGCCTTAGTAATCTTAGCTCCCGAATAAGGTGTGCGATCCATTAGGTATTACCGGCGAGGTAATAAGAGCGATTAATCTCCAATAATCCGTCTAGCAAACTTAAATTCCTTTTAGTTTTACCCTCATTGTGAAACAGATTACCCATTTCACGGGTCTTACTAACCATGAGTAACACCGAACAAACTGTACGTTATGGTGTGCAAGTCAATATGAAATAAATGACATAGAGAACCTATATAGTTTGGAATCACAGTACAAGATACTACAATACTTTCAATTACATTTACAGTCGATGATTAATGTCAAACCCTTTTTGGTGTTGAACATAACACCAATGTAAACTATTTTGCTCGTATGATCCAATTTAAGGCTATGAGTTTTTGTATATGCAAACATAAGTGTGCATTGATCTTTTTGGAATTATCAATATCAACTCAATAGTTCCAACATTCGGGAATAGTTTTAGGATAAACACATGAGAGAATGGTCTTACTAACTAAACTCATTAAGTTACTTGCTTCTTATGTACGGACTATCGTTGAAGTTATCAATATACAATCTCATTGAAGTTATCCATGGACTTACCCAAAAGATTTTATTTGGTTTAGTTGATGTATGGTGATCTTGCCTGATGATTTGTTCATGAAATATCGTGGTATTGTCCGAAATAGTTTATCAACCCGTTAATTGCTTTTAGGACATACCTCTAACAACTACATATTTCCCTTAGAAATACGAATAGAAGAAGGATGAGCTAAACTTACCCTTGAAGCTATTAGAAAAACCCTTACAAATTGCTCCACCAATCTTCTTGTTCTTCAAGTCTTCTCTTTAAGTCTTCTCTTTAAACTCTCCACCTTTGGTTCTCCTTTAGTTGTCAAAGTAGACAACCTTTAGCATCACTACACCACTGAAATCTTCAGTGGTTGGATGAAACATAGAAGAGATAAATAGACTAATGAGTATCACTTAGTAGATTTGTGATTTATGCTTTAGCAGTCCCACAAATATTGAATGACACTTAGCCATATGCAATGACTAATCAAGCTAGTAAAGGATATATTGCAGAACCTATTCAGCTAAAACTAAAATGCAATACAATACTTCACCTATTAATGACTCCTAATTACATTATTATGGTCATATTGTTTATCAAACCACGAATGATGAATACAAATAAAATCTTAAAAGCAAAAGCAATTTAAAGTGAGTTTGGGTTTCTGGTTTTCAGTTTTCATTTTATTTACCCTTCTTTCTGCGTGTGTGTATTTATATATATTTCTACCATAGCTCTCTCGCCATCCTTCCTACCTTCTCTCGTACCCTATCATATATTATCCAACTAGTGCAAAATAAGCTCTCATCATGCTCATAACATATGATATGACGTGAGGAGAGATTTTTCTGTGTAATCAGAATACGAGAGAACACTACATGTCATAATATAAGTGAATGAACATTGAAAATATATATATATATATATATATATTCTAAAGCTTTGTCATCCACTTATATTGTAACACGCGGTATAGCAGTTTGTATTTTAGATAGAACAATGTTTGGTTATTTAAGGATGAGTAGGAGCTTCTACTCAAAATTCTTCGTGTTCCAATTATAGAGTTTTGTGTTTATGATCAAAACCGTTTATATTATGAATCACTTTGTAAGAATTATTTGTAAAAAAAATGAATTAAAATTAAAATCGTTTAGTCTATTTATTGTAGCAAATACATAGACAGTCCGTAATACTTTTGTCAATTTCGTTCATCTATTTTTATACAATTCGATAACTAAACGACCTTAGTTTTAATTGATTTCTTGCTTAGGCAATGTTATAGAGTGATTTATAATATGAACGGCTCCGATTATAAACACAAAATTCTAATAAATCGGCAATGAATTATTTTGTCACATCCCGGCCCGGGCGGGACGACTTCCCGGGCCCGCTCCACCACCGTAGCACAATATTGTCCTCTTTGGGCCCCGACCACGCTCTCACGGTTTTGTTTTTGGGAACTCACACGAGAACTTCCCGATGGGTCACCCATCCTGGGAATGCTCTCGCGCGCTACTCGCTTGACTTTGGAGTTCCCACGAAACCCGAAGCCAGTGAGCTCCCAAAAGGCCTCGTGCTAGGTAGGAATGAGAATATACATTTAAGGATCGCTCCCCTGGGCGATGTGGGATGTCACAATCCACCCCCCTTAAGGGCCCGACGTCCTCGTCGGCACACTCGCGACCAGGGTTAGGCTCTGATACCAAATTGTCACATCCCGACCCGGGACGGATCACTTCCCGAGCCCGCACCACTATCGTAGCACGATATTGTCCGCTTTGGGCTTACCATTCCCTCACGGTTTTGTTTTTGGGAACTCACGAGCAACTTCCCAGTGAGCTCCCACGAAATTGTCCCACGGTTTTGTTCTCGCGCGCTACTCGCTTGACTTCGGAGTTCCCACGAAACCCGAAGCCAGTGAGCTCCCAAAAGGCCTCGTGCTAGGTAGGGATGAGAATATACATTTAAGGATCGCTCCCCTGGGCAATGTGGGATGTCACAATCCACCCCCCTTAAGGGCCCGACGTCCTCGTCGGCACACTCGCGACCAAGGTTAGGCTCTGATACCAAATTGTCACATCCCGGCTCGGGGCGGATCACTTCCCGGGCCCACTCCACTATCGTAGCACGATATTGTCCGTTTTGGGCTTACCATTCCCTCACGGTTTTGTTTTTGGGAACTCACGAGCAACTTCCCAGTGGGTCACCCATCATGGGATTGCTCTAGCCTCATTCTCGCTTAACTTCGGAGTTCCCACGGAACCCGAAGCCAGTGAGCTCCCAAAAGACCTCGTGCTAGGTAGGGATGAGAATATACATTTAAGGATCGCTCCCCTGGGCGATGTGGGATGTCACATATTTTGAGTATGAACTCCTACGTCATTTAGTACTAGAGTCTAGTGATATTCCTCTTACTTGTAAGTGAGAGGTCTTATGTTCGATTTTTGTCAAAGACGAATTTAAACCAAATTGTTGCTAGTTTTGATACTTAACTCACTCCATTTCTCAGGTAGATAATATTGTTCTTTAAAAAAAAAAAAAAAAAAAGTTTTGCTCCTTCGGACATGAAAATAGTGAAAAATCTTTTATAAAGAAATGCAAAAGGCAAATGGCAGACTTCCACGTGTTAACAAAAGCGGGAAAGCCTTAACTCTGTCCTTGGAATAAGAATAGGAAGAATTATTAGGAAATTGGAGGCCATTGTGTAATTTGCGTTTAGGTTTTTATAACGTTACGCACTCACCACTCCCTACTTGCTTTCATCGGCCGCCATCACCCACCCACCTTCTCTTCTCTTCTCTTCAGCTCCTCCCTCACTCCCACTCTCCGGTACCCCTCTCTCTCTTCGTATTCCAAATATGCATGTATGTTGTGGTAATGGTCTGTACTGTTGATATTCCAACATCAATTCCTCCTTGATATTATAAGGAAGCATTCGTAAATCGATGTTGTAAGAACAGAGCTCAGCCGGTGGCTATGGCTCCTGCCCAACCAGACATGGAGGCTGACCAGCTCCAAGACTGCAAACCATTTGTCAACCCAAAAGTTGAACTTGTTGATGATGATACAGATATCAGAAGGGCTTCCTTGCCAAACTCTGCTTTGGCATCGGAGGGAAAACACATGGCTCCAGTCGTCGACATTGATATAATTCAGTGCACAAGTAATCAGGACAGTACTCAGCCTGATCCCGATGCAACGGATGAATATTCAACCTCATTTGCCGCCACTACGTCCGACACTGACAATTTTTCTGGATTTTGTGAAGAAGGTGAAGTGCAGTCACACTCGTTTGAGGACAATGCTTTGACATCTGCTTTTGATGCATTTGCGAGTACATTTCAAACCAGGTGTGTGTGCAGCTTTTTACTTTCCCTCCTTGTAATTTATTATTTCTAGTTTATATCTAGTTACTTGATATCCGTTTGTAACTTGCATGCTACTTCATACATGATTAACTGCTACCACACTCAAGCTTTGGAATGACACGATGAAACCCTTTGTATTATGCACATCTTGATTTGAATTTTGGAACAATCTACATTCTAAACGTGAAACTTTACCACTAAAAACTTGTTAGTTTCTTCCCTTTTAAGTAACCCACAGCTGGACTTGTGGCCAGGGGAGGCTGAAATGCATGAGTCTTCCCGGCCCCCGAAGGGGATAGATAACCGTGGCTTGCCACCAGTTGTCCCCCATTTAAAAAAAAAAAAAAAAAAAAAAGTAGCTTACTAAGTAAACTTAAGATTGTCAGTGCGAGTGCGACCGCCCTGTGCATAATTTTTATGGGTGTCTTAATCATGAAATAATTTTGTCTTTCTAGATGAAACAACAATTATCCAGTCTAAGGTTGTTTTTCCATCCAAAAACACTGGGCAAACATTCTCCGTCTCTCCAATTTTACAAGTATGTAAACATAGACATGGGTTTTTGATACTTCAGTGTCATCTTTTCGGCATGTACTTCTGGGAGATAGTATAACCCCTCACGTGAATATCCCAACTGCCTTTGTTTCTAATTCAGGAAGAAGAAGTTGACAAATCACTGGAGGAGCTTTATACGTCCTGTAATGTGGCGCTGCAAATGGATGGAATTGAGAATCAAAGAAATTGAAGCACAAGCACTAAAGTATTCCAGAGACCTTCGAGTAGCATATGATAAAAAAAGACATACAGGATTCAACCAACGTACTTTGGAAGAATTTGGTTCAAAATCATTGCCATTTTGTAGTCAATTCCGCAGAAAGAAAGCTATGAAGAGGAGGAAACGCAAGAGAGTTGAAGACACAACTGATATAGCATCATACATCTCAAATCATAATGTCTTTTCCTATCTTGGTGGGAGCTTCTTCCTTATATAAAAAATACCATGATTTTGCTCATTCACTCTCCTTCATAAAATACACCTCCTGCGATGATATTTATCCTTGCATTATTATGTATTGCAGAAAATAAAAGATCCGATCCTGACGGCACGTCCGTTGCTGATGACTTTAATAATGCAGGTATAGTTCTTACCATTTGTCGTTTCTTCCTCATGTTGAGCTGTAGGACTCTTCATTCTTACCAATCTCAATAACTCAGCAACCTTTTGCATTGTGTTCTTAATTTTTTTTTTTTTCTAGTTTTTTTCTTTATTCACTAGTCCAAGCATAATTTGTTTCCTTAAGATTGACTCCGAGACTAATTTATAATTGTTGAGGGGATAGTAATCACAGAGCAGAGTGCTGATTACAATGATAAACTCAGTACTGGTGATAACTGGGCATTCTTTGAGTACCAAGATGGTGACAAGTCTTTGGAGCATGTCCTTTGGAAAATTGAGACAGTGCACTCTCGGGTTCACAAGTTAAAGTATCAAATGGATGTGGTGATGTCCAAAAATGCTGCTAGGTTTTCTTCCAGTGAAAATTTGAGCGTTCTTGTACCCTGTGATGCACAGACCAGCTCTGCACATAGTCCAGCATTGTCTCCTGGCAATGGAGAAACAAACTCTGCGGGAGCTATATATACTTCAGCTCAACATGTATCAGGCTACAATGTTGGGGATCTCGCAATGCCTGAAAGTGTAGTCTCAAGTTTTGTGGAGGGAATCACTGTTCCTGATATAATTGAAAGCACTGTGGGACTACCGTCTGCTGTTGACGTTACCTTCCATCAGCCACAGTTCGGAGACTCAAGCGAAGATGTAAGTCTTCCCTATGGAACATAACTTTCATTCCACAACTTTCTTTCAACCTACAGCCAAAAATATTTATACTATGTGATGATAGATGCATATCACATGTCAAATACGGTAAAATTGACATAGTGGATGTCATCTCTTCAACAACTACCACATGTGGACATTAATTTTGTTTTAACAAAGGGCCTAATTGGGAGTTAAAAAGTTACGCCAAACCCGAAATTTTCCCATCATATAGTTGAGATAATTAATTGATATCGATAGCAGCTCAAAGTATTTTTGTTTGTGTATTTAGTAGGTAATATAAGATACCTTTTTAGTTGCCTTTTGTTTCCCTGCATAACAGAAATGGATCATAGGGTTTTTATGTCATCTCTTACAGATTGTGGATAATGTCCTGATACATAATGAGGCAGCTGAAGCAGAGAAGCGCGCTTTCCAAATGATCAACGACCAACCTAAAGAGGAACATCAGCAACCAGAGAAAGACTTACAAGAAGCCGTTTTTCCAACTCCACAATCAGAACCTGCTCCCTCGGCAGAAGTTGCTGTTCCTCAGGAACAATCAACTCTAGAGTCATGCTTGGCTTCCGATGTAAATTTTCCTAGAAACAAGAGAAAGCGAGGGGAGCGGAAAGCAGGTTCAGTTGTTTGGAGCTAGAAATGCTCAGGCGAGCCCGATAGCCAATGAGTTTCATTTCCTTAAATTATGCTGGTTCATGGAACTTCAGAGACATTTCCTCTTCTTTTTCACATAAGTGGATACACGAGCTTGTTACAGTTATTGTGAACTAGCACTTGCTGTATATAGAGAAGTGGTTTCGGTTCCTAAGTTATGCCGTGGTTTCGGTTCCTAAGTTATGTCGCGGTTTGCGGCAAGAGCCAGTCTAGTGTACTTTGACAACTGATATGTGGAATAGTTGGTCTAATTACGTGTTCCATCAACAAAAAAAAACGTCTGAAATCTTTAGGACCCGTTTGATAACTATTAGATATCATCAATGGCTTCTCTTGCATTACCCGGCCTGAGCGGGATTGTTGCTAAATTGTTAGTGTTTTATTTTTGGAATACTTGCTAGTCAACAATAGCTTTTAGCGACAAAAATATTTGACTGTTGTAATGGCAATTGGAATGATATTAACTCCTATTTATTATCTATGTTATGCCAAATGTTCTATGGATACAAGCTTACTAATGTAAAACCCAATTTCGATTGATTCATGCGATACTTTTTTCTTTTTAGTGGTGAGATTATGTGAATAATCTACTACTGATTTTGCTTTAAAGTAAAAAAATAAAATCGTTTTCTAATTTTAGTCTACAGCAAAAAAATAAAATTAAAATAACACTAGACTGTAAGGTTAAGTGGTTAATAATTAAAATAAACTTAAATAATCATAAACAGCTACATACACTTAACATGCATTCCTCATTGATGTTTTTTTTTATGTTGACATGGCTTGGAGAAGATGTATTAATTAGCTTAATGAATCATTTACATAACTCTAACTGAAATCAAAACATGGAATTGAATTCTGATTACGGAATCACCCCGAAGGTTATTAATTATTGCGGAATCAAAAAATTGATGGAACACACTATTGAAAGTCAAGAGTGAGTATTCCATATGCAGCATCAGTCATCTCATATCGTCTAATAACAGTCAAGAGTGGGTATCCGGAGCTATTGGTTAGGTTGACGATTAGGGTGTAGTTGTCACCTTACTTCTAGTTAGATCTTGTATCTTCCTTCCCATACTTCTAGGGTGGTTAGAAGCTTTTTGCCTTACCTTCTTTCTGCTCCCTGTTTTATGGAGCTACCGTGTAGGAGTGATTCAAGGGTGATCAGTGTGTTGATCACACTTTGCCCTATATATCTTGTATTCTTGTGTTGTTGTTTCTTTATGAAAGATATATACAAACAAACACTTAAAACTCAACATGGTATCAGAGCAGGAATAACCTGTCTTTATGATACTCGTTGCTTTATTCTTCAAGCTTTCTTTCATGGCTGACGAAAACCCCATCCTTGAGTCTGATGCTGATAGCTCACTTGGAGCCAGTCATCAAAATCAACCGGAGATTGATGTAAATCCAAATCAAAGGTTGATTTCTGTGCTTCTAAATGAGTTCAACTACTTACCATGGTCGATGGCAGTTTCACTTGCCCTAGGAGGAAGATCAAAGCTAGGGTTCATAAATGGAAGTATTGAAGCTCTTGATGCTTCCTCTACCACTAATGAATCTTGGCTTAGCAAGGATCAGTTGGTCATGTCTTGGCTCCTCAATTCCATGAAGAGAAAGATAGCTGAGATATTCAGCTACTCTGAGTCATCCTTTCAACTATGGAAGTCTGTGCAAAAGATGTATGGAAATCAAAATAATGCAGCCCGTGTGTTTCAACTTAAAACAGATATCACGAGCATGCAACAAGATGGAAAACCTTTTGTTCAGCTACTTAGAAGTCTAAAAGGTATGTGGAATGAGTTGGAGGTATATCGTCCACATACAACGGACTCAAACCTGCTTCTTAAAAGGGTTGAGGAAGACAAAATCTTCTAGCTTCTTTCTAGTTTGGGGTCGGAATATGAATATCTGCATAGCCATATTCTCATGAATCCAAAGCTCCCCACATTTGCAAATGTTTGTGCAACAATTCAAAGGGAAGAAGTGAGAAAAAAGGTTATGAACACTGGTACCACAACAACTGCCTTGGAAGTTAGGGCTTATTTTTCCAACTAGTGATAAGAAGTATGTTGATGCACAAAATCGGCGAGGACTTTGGTACAACAGAAAGTGTCAAGTTTGTGACCTTCACTAGGTTGCTCTAGTCATTAGTGTGGATAAGTATGTAAATGAATAGAGATAGGGAAGCAAACAACACAAGATGTACGTGGTTCACCCAGATTGGCTACGTCCACGGAGTAGAGGAGTTCTCATTAGTTGTGAAGGGTTTACACAAATACATAGGTTCAAGCTCTCTTTTAGTGAGTTCTAGTGAATAGTTTAGTACAAATGACATTAAGGATTATTGTGGGAAAATGATCCCCTTTTATAGAAGAGAGTTTCTAGCTTTATTCTGACATTGGCACGTGTCGTGTTGTGATTGGCCTCTGATATCGACACGTGTCGCGCTGTGATTGGCTTATGATACCAACATGTGTCGTGTTGTGATTGGTCTCCTGGTTGGAGGAAAAGTCTTGTGGGTCCTTGATGGTATGCTGTTGACCGATGCTTAGTAGTTTCAGGATTGGTCAAGTATGGTACAAACAGTGCTCCCCTAAGTTCCCGAGTGAGGGAAGTTCCTCAGTTGGGGACTTACAAGATCCAAGTCATTGAGTAATCACGAAACTTCCAAGTACCGAAGTGTGGTGTCGCCTTCACTTGCCATCTCTGTTCTGTAAGTAGATGTGGCATCTTCTCTTGGAAGTAATTTTCCTTCATCCAGGAGTGGTATCTTTAGTTGGCATTAACGCACAAGGTAATGTATAATTTTCATTGGAAGCTTACTTGTAGTTTTGGGTTTGGTCAAGTGCGATACAAACCATATAATAGGAGTCCCCCAAGTCTCTAAGCGAGGAGATCTGCCGAAGGAGGTGACAGACAAGGTAAGCAATCAGGGTTCCAAGCAATCAGTCTCAGATCGGTAGGTTAATCTTGGGTTCCAGCTGATTGTACTCATTCTTCATGTCTTTCATTCAACAATAACGATAAAGATAAGAAACAAGAAGAAGAGATGATATGAGGTACTCTTATTTTTAGAGAAGACAGACGAATCGGCACGTGCTTTGTTGTATTTGACTTTCCACATGTGCATTCTTGAACTAGGCTGGAGGGTTTTTTGGTTTCCTCCAAAGAAGCGAGCCGACTCCAGAATTTGAGGGTTAAAACAAGTCTGTCAAACCTAAAGTATGTTCGATCCTGATGATAAGGGATACTTTTGCTGTTTAACAAAGTAGTAGATGTGGTATGGCGAAACTTTGTTCTTCGACAACGGTGCTAGCAAAAGGTTGTTGAGGCTTCTCGATCTCTTCAATTAGAGCAATGATGCCGAGCTTGGATTTGACTTAGACTCTTCCGTCTGGATTGTGCGGTTCCACAAGAAGGCGTCGTGCTGTAGTGATCTGTTCTAGCTCGCCGTTGAACCTTCTGCTTCAATCTTTTGTATAGCAGAAATGGTGCACAACCTTTGCATTTAAATGGTCTTTCAGAGCACGACTTCTTAGTGACTCATCCATGCTTGGCAGCTTCAGTGTAAAGAACCAATATCGTACCAAATGTTCTGAGGTATTTGCCGAAGGAATTCATGACCTTGACAACAGTTGAGAATGAGTACTCGAGAGCAATGCTAGGTAAACGACCAGATAAAGGTTCCAGGCAATCAGTTCTAGATCAGAAGTTTGATTTCAGATTTCGACTGATTACATTCTTTCTCTTTGTCCTGCAGGTAAAAGCAAGGGCAAGGGAAAAGACAAGGAAAAAGCATGATATAGGATATTCTTGCTTTCAACCCTGATGATATGAGATATTCTTGCTCTGATGTGGCTGGTTAGCATGGGTATTATCGAAGGAGAAGAAAACAGAGTATTTCGAGAGGTTAGATTGGGAGTGCCATTTCGGATGTGAGGAAGGGTTGAGCATATTTTTTTTTTTTATTTGGCAGGTTTGCCTGGCTGTGGAGGATGAAGGTCGACATATATAGGGATTGTCCCAACAGTGAGTGGTAATGCTGTTCCTTTACCCTTCTCGGTCAAAGCAATGTAGTGGTCGCTGTAAGGTTCACGTGTTTTAACTTTGTCAGAGCACTTTGAAAAAGTGGTCTGTGGTATCCAGAAAGCTGATGTTACGTGTGAGGATTGTGGACAAATTTTATCCAATGAAATCCGACTTCTCGAAGTTCGGGGAGCGATGCCTCTTCGATTTCTGAGCAAGCAATCTTGTTGGGGATATGGTTCTCGAGATTCGAAGAGTGGTGCCTCTTCAATTTCTGGGCAAGCAATCTTGTTGGGAGTGTTTTCTTAGAAGTGAAGAAAGGTTGGGCATTTTTGCAAGTCGCTTTGCCACGAAGCACAGAGATTGACACACATAAGGATTTTCCAATAATCAAGCAGTGGTGCTGAACCTTTATTCTTGTGGGTAATAGTAGGGTAACTGGGCCTTTAACATTTACCTGTCTTAACTTTGTCAGAGTTCTTTGGCAAAGTTGTCCTTGGTATCCGAGGAACTGATGTCGCATGTGAAGATTGCTAATAAATTTTAACCCAAGAAATTCACTTCTCGAAATTTGGAGAGTGGTGCCTCTTCGATTTTTGAACAAGCAACCCTATTGAAGATCTGGCTCTTTCTTTTATAGGAGCACCAATTAAGTTCAAGGAGTCCGTTCTGAAAGTTATTGCTTGTAGGAATTTTTTCCTTATTTTCGTACTTTTGAGACTTATTGTACTTCATTTTTTTCTTCATCTTTTTTGAGAATGTCTGGTCCGTCCGACCGTCGTTTGGACTTGAATGTTGTAGAAGAGGTAACCATGTCTCTTCAAGATAACATATAGCGCCCATCCTTCTTATCTCCTACTGGTCCCCTTACTATTAGGGACTCTGTGATGAAGAATGATATGACCACTGCAGTGGTGGCCAAGAATCTTCTCACTCCCAAAGACAACAGACTACTTTCCAAATGATCTGATGAGTTGGCTGTTCAGGATTCTCTGGCTTTCAGTGTTCAGTGTGCGGGTTCTGTGTCTAATATGGCCCAACGCCTATTTGCTCGAACTCGCCAAGTTGAATCATTGGCGGCTGAAGTGATAAGTCTCAAACAGGAGATCAGAGGGCTTAAGCACGAGAATAGACAGTTGCACATGCTCGCATGTAGCTATGCTACAACCATGAAGAGAAAGCTTGACCAGTTACAGGAATCCGAGGGTCAGATTTTAAATGATCATCAGAGGTTTGTGAGTTTGTTCGAAAGACATTTATTGCCTTCGTCCTCTCAGGCTGTACCACATACTGAAGCTCCAAATGATCAACCTCTGGTGCCTCCTTTTTCTGGGGTTCTACCCAGTACTGAGGCTTCAAATAATTACCCTCCGGTGCCTCCTATTTCTGGGGTTTTGCCGAGTGTTGAGACCTCTCCTGAGCAGCCTTTGTGAAAACGCCCTCCTGTTTGTTTGTTTTGATTCATGTGT